CCGCTTTTGGCTTCTTGGCTTCTTGGCTTCTCGGCTTCTTGGCTTCTTGGCTTTTCGGCTTCTTGGCTTCTCGGCTTCTCGGCTTCTCGGCTTCTGGGCTTCTTGGCTTTTTGGCTTCTTGGCTTGTTGGCTTCTTGGCTTCTTGGCTTCTTCGTATATTTCGCGAGAACATGCTGTAAAATACGACACTTTACCGGCCCGGCAGAAATTGAATTGCACCCCTGCTTGAATCATCACTTTTTCGAGCGTCCAATTTCGCGAGAAAATGCTGCAAAATACGACATTTTAGGTAATCTGTGTAGTCCGTGTATGTCTGTATGTATGCATTTCTTCGAACATCATAGGGGAAGCCACCCCCGCCAACCCTCTCGCTGCCTTGTAAATTCTATCACACCCTTTCTTGAATCATTGCACCCCTACTTGAATCACCACTTCTTCATGGGGGGGCTGCCGCCCCCCCCGCTACGTTTAGATTACAGAGATTTAATTAATTGCACCCCTAGTTGAATCATCAAGCATCATGGGGGGGGGGGCTGCCGCCCCCCCCAACCCCCCCGCTACTTTTTAGACTGACATGCCCTCCTACTTGAATCATCATTTCTTTGACCCCGTCACACGATTTGTTGGTGATGCTAGGGATGTTGGTGGGACATGCGGGGTATATTTCGCGAGAACATGCTGTAAAATACGACACTTTACCGGCCCGGCAGAAATTGAATTGCACCCCTGCTTGAATCATCACTTTTTCGAGCGTCCAATTTCGCGAGAAAATGCTGCAAAATACGACATGTTAGGTAATCTGTGTAGTCCGTGTATGTCTGTATGTATGCATTTCTTCGAACATCATAGGGGAAGCCACCCCCGCCAACCCTCTCGCTGCCTTTTAAATTCTATCACACCCTTTCTTGAATCATTGCACCCCTACTTGAATCACCACTTCTTCCGACATCATGGGGGGGCTGCCGCCCCCCCCCAACCCCCCCGCTACGTTTTAGATTTTCTACAGAGATTTAATTAATTGCACTCCTAGTTGAATCATCAATTCTTCGAACATCATGGGGGGGTTTTTAGACTTTTTGCAGAGATTTAATTGCACCCCTGTTCGAATCATCACCCCCCGCTACTTTTTAGACTTTTTGCAGAGATTTAATTGCACCCCTGTTCGAATCATCACTACCCCGCTCTGTTTTTCTTAATTGTTTTATTTTTATTTTTTATTTTGCTGGGATTGAAATGCCCTCCTGTTTGAAGCATTATTGTTTTGACCCCGTCAACCCGCCAGCTACATTTTTGGATTTTGTTACCCACGATTTGTTGGTGATGCTAGGGATGTTGGTCGGACATGCGGGGGATGTTGAAAACGATGCTGGGGATGTTGACGAGCTAGTGTAAAATGCGTCAATTTCGCGAGAAAATGCTGTAAAACACGACATTTGCTGGCCCGGACGAAAAAAAATAAATAAAAAACAACCCAAAAAAAACGGAAAAAAAAAAAAAAAAAAAAAAAAAACCCAAAATAAATCCGCACCCTTATCTAGAAACCTTCAACAATCACAACTTGACCCTGCCAGCAAGACTATTTGCCATGACGCCTCATGCACTAAATACTCTCCAGACCCTAAATAAAGCTAAGCTCATTCCCACTGATCCCGAATTTGCTCTGATCCCTTATCTTTATTCAGGGGCAAGCTTTCTATTCAAGCTGGCTCATCAAAAAATGATTCCAATTCCATCAGATCCCAAAATTCTTGAGTGACTCCCTTCATCAAATTCTTTATCTAGAAATATTCAACAATCACAACTTGACCCTGCCAGCAAGACTACCCCCCATGACGCCTCATGCACTAAATACTGTCCAGACCCTAAATAAAGCTAAGCTCATTCCCACTGATCCCAAAATTGCTCTGATCCCTTATCTTTATTCAGGGGCAAGCTTTCTATTCAAGCTGGCTCATCAAAAAGTGATTCCAATTCCATCAGATCCCAAAATTCTTGAGTGTCTCTGCATCAAATTCTTTATCTAGAAACCTTCAACAATCACAACTTGACCCTGCCAGCAAGACTACCCCCCATGAAGCCTCATGCACTAAATCATGTCCAGACCCTAAATAAGGCTAAGCTCATTCCCACTGATCCCAAAATTGCTCTGATCCCTTATGTTTATTCAGGGGCAAGCTTTCTATTCAAGCTGGCTCATCAAAAAAGGACTCCAATTCCATCAGATCCCAAAATTATTGAGTGTCTCTTCATCAAATTATTTATCTATACATATTCAACAATCACACCTCGACCCTGCCAGCAAGTCTACCCCCCATGACGCCTCATGCACTAAATAATGTCCAGACCCTAGATAAAGCTAAGCTCATTCCCACTGATCCCAAAATTGCTCTGATCCCTTATCTTTATTCAGGGGCAAGCTTTCTATTCAAGCTGGCTTATCAAAAAATGATTCCAATTCCATCAGATCCCAAAATTCTTGAGTGACTCCCTTCATCAAATTCTTTATCTAGAAACCATCAACAATCACAACTTGACCCTGCCAGCAAGACTACCCCCCATGAAGCCTCATGCACTAAATACTGTCCAGACCCTAAATAAAGCTAAGCTCATTCCCACTGATCCCGAATTTGCTCTGATCCCTTATCTTTATTCAGGGGCAAGCTTTCTATTCAAGCTGGCTTATCAAAAAATGATTCCAATTCCATCAGATCCCAAAATTCTTGAGTGACTCCCTTCATCAAATTCTTTATCTAGAAACCATCAACAATCACAACTTGACCCTGCCAGCAAGACTACCCCCCATGAAGCCTCATGCACTAAATACTGTCCAGACCCTAAATAAAGCTAAGCTCATTCCCACTGATCCCGAATTTGCTCTGATCCCTTATCTTTATTCAGGGGCAAGCTTTCTATTCGAGCTGGCTCATTAAAAAATGACTCCAATTCCATCAGATCCCAAAATTATTGAGTGACTCCCTTCATCAAATTCTTTATCTAGAAACCTTCAACAATCACAACTTGACCCTGCCAGCAAGACTACTCCCCATGACGCCTCATGCACTAAACAATGTCCAGACCCTAAATAAAGCTAAGCTCATTCCCACTGATCCCAAAATTGCTCTGATCCCTTATCTTTATTCAGGGGCAAGCTTTCTATTCAAGCTGGCTTATCAAAAAATGATTCCAATTCCATCAGATCCCAAAATTCTTGAGTGTCCCTTCATCAAATTCTTTATCTAAAAATATTCAACAATCACACCTTGACCCTGCCAGCAAGACTACCCCCCATGAAGCCTCATGCACTAAATACTGTCCAGACCCTAAATAAAGCTAAGCTCATTCCCACTGATCCCGAATTTGCTCTGATCCCTTATCTTTATTCAGGGGCAAGCTTTCTATTCAAGCTGGCTCATCACAAAATGATTCCAATTCCATCAGATCCCAAAATTCTTGAGTGTCCCTTCATCAAATTCTTTATCTAGAAACCTTCAACAATCACAACTTGACCCTGCCAGCAAGACTACCCCCCATGACGCCTCATGCACTAAACAATGTCCAGACCCTAAATAAAGCTAAGCTCATTCCCACTGATCCCAAAATAAGAAAAAGCAACATGCCCAATACTACTTTAGAATTGGCCCAATTCTAAACTAGTATTCCCCAAAGCAAAATAAGAAAAAGCAACATGCCCAATGCTACTTTGGAATTGGCCCAACTCTAAACTAGTATTCGAAAACCTTAAAAAACGAAGCCCAATACTAAACCAATTCTAAACTGGCCCCGACCCTGTTTTTTCTTCCTCAACTTTATCTAGGGGCATTCAGGGGCGGTTGTTTTTTTTAATCAGAGGTGGACATTACCTTCCAAAAGCACATTTTTTTTAGTTTGAAAGGGGCAAAAGTCAACTGGCTCGTTGCATTGTGATCCCTGAGGCATTTTGTGAGTTTAAGTTGGGCCCACCAACTTTGTATTTATTTTGGATGCGTTGCCGCCACTTTTGAAGGTATGAGGGTATTTCCTTTGCGTGATTATTACTCGGACCCATTGAAATCAGAGTTGCCTGGACCTGCACGTGACATTCTCCCAAAGGCCCCAAGTTCTCCAACTCAAGGTTTTTTTTTAGATTGGTCAAGGATTTATCAAGGCCAAGAAAGTTGATTCAAAGGGCCAAGGATTTATCAATTGCAAATTCCCACACACACTTGAATGTTGATTAGCACAACGTGCTCCTTTGAGGATGTGGTGGCGCAACTTCTCCAAAGACCTGAGACGAGATTCGCGCCCGGGGTACGCGTGGGCACGGTTTCTTCGGGAGTTTGGGTTAAAAGCCAAAGTTTGTGGCCCCTCAGATGATACTGACTTGCATCTTTTAAGGTTCAGCAAATATCGACCAGAATCGGGGGGGGGGGAAAACACGGATTCAAGGTAAGGCGTTGAGGCATGAGCTGAGGTACAAAGGCAGGATGTCGCGTTCTGTTGACCTGTGCTGCTGACTTCATGTGTTTCGATTTTGCGCAGCTCTTACATGGTAAATTCAGTAGGGGATGACAATTCCCGACGGTTGTTTTAAGCTGCTGGTCAAACACATGAAACTTATTTTCTTTGCGATTCGCTGTGAGGAAAGCAGTAAGGAATGCTGTCGTGATTGGCATTCGGAGTTGCCACGTTTGTTTGCCAACTTGCCAACGGCTCGCGCCCAGCTTGTGCCCCTCCAGCCAAATGCGTGCACAAACAAATTTGCAACCACTGGAGAGAACACATACACACAGACACAAACCCAGGGGAGAGGGAGTGGCAATATGAATCCCTACCCCGCCTTGTTTACCCAAACCCAGTTCTTGTGGATGCAAATCCATGTCTGATGGTTTCGTTTTGCGATTCCGGAAGATTCTGCTGCAGTGGGCTTTGGAAAACCAGGCAACTGGACAACTTCTGGGTTTCCAGAAAGGAAATCGATCAACTAGGTCCCCCAGCTCGGTGCCAACTTTTTCCGTTTCTTTTTGGGGGGAGATTCGGAAGCAAACCACGCCTCGCCTTTGCAAAGGCGATGCCTTTTGCTCTTTGCCGCCATGGCTAAAGCTGCCAAAAGTCTGCAGGGCAAATGGCTGGGCGCGGACGGCGAGTACGTGGCCACAATTCGGGGCTGTCACTTGCTCGCACTGTTCCATCGAAGCAGTCTTCAACGGGTGTCCTTTTTTTTTTAGGCCAGTTTGGTTAGACATAAGTTTGCATAGACATAAGTTTGCACTGGTTTAGATTGGTGTGTTCCAATGTTGAGAGCCATCTATTTTCCAAAAGGTCGCCTATCTTTTCGAACCTTTTGGTTGAGGAATGTTTCCCTATGAACAAGCAAGCACTGTGCTTTTTTTTCTCCCAGGGCTCAAAGACCAAGCACCGAGGTAATATCCATTGGCCGGATGGATCAAAGATCGCGTTTCAGCCCTCGGAGGGTGAGGTGGTGCAGCTGAATTTCGAGCTGGACAACCAGGAACGGGCGGCCAGTGGGTGACCAGGGGAAACCGGAAACCACCGCGAAGACCAAACCCGCGAAGACCGCGAAGGAAACCGGAGCGCCAAGCGCTTGAGCAAGTGAGAACACGCCCGCCCGCTTTTGGGCTTACTATGCCAAACCTCAGATTAGGACCTTGCTACCCAAATCATCATAGAACTCTTCCTAGGACCCCCTAAACCTAAACACCCACACACAGACACCTTTTCGCACCTCCAACACTGGTCCATATATTCTAGTCTTTCCCAACGGTATGTGCTTGTGGGGGGTGTTGGGGGGTTGCCCTGAGGCCTACAGCGCAACGGCTACGGCGCCCGAGCGCCTGGAATTCAGCGACGGGGACGTGTGGCTGAAGCCCAAGCCAAAGGAACGCAAGGCACAGCCCGGCGTCTCAACGGTTTTCCCTATGTTTGGTGCGGTGTTTGAAATTCTTCCCTAGACTCGTTGGTTTCCTTGGGATTTTCACTCTTGAAAATCAACCAACAGGGGGTGGACGCCTAGAAAGATGGTTTCTTCACTAAAATTGTCGGTTTCCTTTCGGCTTCCCTTTTCAAGAGTCAATGAAAAGCGGGTGAACACCAAAGAATGAGTGAGAATCACTCAATTATTCCGCCCCCCAGGTTTGGGCTTGTTGGACTCATAGTGACCTCCGATCCTCATACGTCGGCATGATAAGTGGTGACGGCCGAAGTCGGAGGCTTCTGGTCCCTCGAATTGGAGCGCCCTGGGCCGAAGGGAATCCCCACCAAACAGGAATCATTTCAATGGCTACAAGTAAAGCTGAGGCTGCTATTCATGAGCGATCGACGCTGCCTTGCTTCCATGTTGCTTCGAAGTCTCGTCGAGCCAGCCACCGGCCTGGGATTGAGCCTTGTGCCTGTGATTGCAATCGAGTTGTGCCAAGATGACTTTGATGTCAAGAAGGATGCCAGACGGGTGGGTGCTTTTTGTCTCCCACCTGGAAGGTCTCCGCAACACCCAGAAAGCGAAAGGAAGTGCCGGAGAAAGCGCGGAAGCTTGGCCATAGATTTAGAGTCCAGGGGCTTGGCCAAACTTCGCCCATTGACCTCGCAAAGAGGTTGTGTTTACCTCACACGTCATGAAGGTTCCGAAGGTTCCTTCTATTTTTGCTCATTATTTGCCAAGATAGTCTCGACCATGTTCTTCTGACCGTTTAAGCCTTGTCAGGGATCTCTGGCAAGTCAAGCCAATCAAAGGCTTGTTTGTAGGGGCACATTGCTTTTACCGACTTGATAGGTCCTTATTTGGCTTGTTGGGCGTTTGCGCAGTTGGGGCTTCAATGCTTGTGTGCCAATGCCCGTCTTCGCAGCGCACTGTTGGAACATATGACTGTCGACCGTCCATCAAGAGTCCAATGCTTGAACCCCTAGATAAACCCCACAACCTGGTCTCATAGTTATAGGTTAAAATGAAAAGGGCGCTAAATATGGGTTAAAATTTGGCGGTCGGTGAAAAGCACTTGGCACGCGAACCGGTTTGCCCTTTGAGAGAATTGACTGCCGCGCAAGTGTGGCTCGATGGAGGCGGTTTGGTATCCGGCCAGAGAAAACTGGCCACTCAGCCATGTGTACATCATTAGCGCTAGCGGGGAACTGCCTTTGGCCTAGCACATGGTGTTTGGCAAACGTCTTCAAGGTTTTCGGTGTCAACCTGGGCTGTAAAACTGGGGTTCATACAAGAAACTTGCCACAAAATGTGCCCGAAAACCCCTATGAACCCCAAAAATCTGTGGCCGAAATCCCCTATGAACCCCAAAATTTGTGGCCGAAACCCCCAATGAACCCCAGCCCGGTGGCTATCTGTAGCTTAAAACCCTATAAACCCAAGCTTGTGGTTTGAAGACCGCGCCCCTTCAAAAGTTGCCAACACCAACTGTGACTTCGCCACTTTTGCAACATCTGAAGGTGCCCGTTCTGACTGGAAGCCGCTCCAGCGATTGACTATCAATCCCAGCGGTGGTTCTGCGGGGCAATCCGCGTTGCAGGAATTGAGCCTTGAGGGGGGCTCTTGCGATGACAAAAGTGAGCTTCGGAATCAATCAAATCACGTATTTCTCTGTATTATCAGGGGTCCTTATAAAATTGCCTTTGGAGACAGAAATCGGCGAAATCAAAGGTAAGCCTCAACCAGGCCTTAATTAAGGCCTAGCCAACGATGAACATTCCAGGTGTACCCAGGGGTTCAAACATAGTCCTTTTGAGTCCAGCGGCTTCAAGTAGATTGGTTATGCTGACCATCACTTTCACCGGCCTTGGTCATTGGAACCTCAAACAGGATGCCCCAAGCAGATTTATCCACGTGAAGTGTGTTTTTCGTTTGCGTTTCCTTCCATTGACGTGCAGGGGGTCAACAAGATGCTCTGGAAGGGAGTGCAGTTTGATGCTTCCAAGTTTAGCTGAGGAAGTACAAGATCACGTCAGCCAACAAGGTGGCCGTGCTTCCAAAACCCGACGTCGAGGCCCGGGGAATCCGGAAGATCCAGAGTTGAGCTGAAGCTTCCCTCCTCAAAATTCTGGCGAGTTGGTCTGGGACCTCTGGCTTCAGGTTCCTTTGGCTTTGTGCACAAAGGTTCAAGTTCCCGGGCCCCCGAGGTTTAGTTCAAACCCCCCGGCATGTGGCAACGGGCAAGGCGGCCATGGAGAGCTGGTCTGGATTTACTTGGGTCTCCTGGTCCGTTAAAGAATCGCGTAGAGTCTCTCTGGCCGGCGGCCGGTAAGCTTGATGACTACTCCCGCGAGCTCCTTGGAAGGCCCGAAGCGGATGGCAGGCTTCTACCTGGAGTTTCCATCACCCTTTAAACATGGGGTCATGACCCTTAATGATGGGGCCATGTCATTACCCTTAATGATGGGGTCATGGACCTATGTTTAAAGGGTCATGGAGACTCTACATAGCCACTTTTTGACCAGGCGAACTGCGTTGGTATCTGTGAATCCACTTGGCCTCAGGCGGAGGTGAAGACGTACCTTCCCCCGGGCACCATCATCGAGGTGGGGAAAGTCCGGAAGGCAGTTTTGCAAGGGAAAGTCGGGGCAAATGGGTATGCGTCAAAGATGAAACCACCAGTGTTAGTCCCAGGTCACCCATTTTGGGTGCCTATTTTTGACCCACAGCCACACCAAGTTGATCCTTTCAGGCGGCAGAGGAGTGGATGGATCCGCGGGACGACCGGCGGTACTTCTTCGTGGAAGCACACCACGGCTGGGTTCCGGAGTGCTCCCGGAAGGATCCCAGCAAGGCAAACGGCAAACGGGGGCGGTACGGTTTCAGAGGCGCATGTGGCTGTGGCTCCAAAAACCGGTACCCAAAATGGAACCCTGGGAAGTGGAAACATGGACCAAAATCTGCGTAACCCCTCCTGTTTAATTTTGAGCCACACCCATGTTGCTTGGATGTTTGGACTTTAACTTTTTGCCAACTAATGGGTTGTCCATTAAACCACTAAAGTTAAACTTTCTGCAGGGGAGCAGAAAGCAAGCGATTGGTTTGCGAGCGCCACAACTAAAGCAGCTTCGGGTAGAAGGCTTGTGCCGATTCTGATCGGCCTCTTCAGGTGGTGTGTACTTTGCGTTCCAATGGGAAGCTGAAGCAAACACACCAGTTGCCTGTCCTACCTTTCCACCAGTTGCCAGTGCGCCGCTGTCTTGAGCTTGTGTTTGCCACAAAAGGATGCCCGAACTTCCCATGGTCGCTGGGCATTTGGGTGCCAGGTTCGGACAGGTCGGCCAGGCGGCCCTGAACATTCTTCCAATGGTGTTTCTGGATGGTACATGCGGTGTTGTGGGGAGGTGATCTCTTACCTTTTTGACAGCAAAGGCGTACCTGATGTTCGCAGCAAACATAATTTCAATCGAGAACTGCTGGACCTTTTAAACAATAATTTCTGTCGGTGCAAGGACCTTGTGAGGATGTACATCGATCCCTTTGAGTACCGCTCGAGCAGGTACTTGAACTCTTTGGGTCAGATTACATGAGTCCTATCTAAGAAAGTTGTATACTTATCACGCTGTATAACGTCGTCTCTTGTTGCTCAAAGGGAATTCACGGAGTTTGCGGTGCTCATGAGCTTATCTGCGAGCCGGGGAAGAAAGCGGGTTATTTCGCGTTGAGAGGTCATCCTGGAGGAACACCTCACTCCGGCACAGAAGCGCGCCCGGGCTGCTCGAGCAGAAGCAGAAGCGAAGGCGGCGGAAGACGCCAAGGCAGCAGAAGAAGCCAAGGCGGCGGAAGCCAAGGCGGCGGAAGAAGCCGAGGCACAAGGTACCGAGGCAGAAGGCAGGGGCCACCAGATTTCACGTTTAGACCAATTCAAGCATTTGATCGGCATATCCCCGTGAGGCGTCAAGGCAGAGGCGCCAGCGGCAGAAGCGGAGGCAGACGCCGAAAAAGCAGAAGCCCAGGAAGCGGAAGAAATGGCGGAGCCCGAGCCACAAGAGGCCGAGCAAGAGGAGGCCGAGTCACAGCGTGTTGCAAGGTTTGGCTGGCACACAATTCAACGACACAGACATTGCTATTGTCTTGGATATAAACAAATAAACATCATTATATATATACATATTATGGTTGTCTCCTGAAGTCTTGCAACCACGCCAACCCCGACTGAATTAACAATCATGAAGCATACACGCTTTTCTCAAAGGCTCATGTAATTCACTTTACAGGAAAAGCGCTGGCAGATTGGATCAAGACAAGCACGTATCGAAGCACCGGTAGTTGTGATCAGTGATTGGTGTCAAGGCGAGTTTAAACCATACCCAGACCAACAATGTAACAACCCGAGGGGCGGGATGGGCATCAGTCTGGCAAATCGTTTCCTTCCCGGTCTTGATATGTTTGTTTGTGTCATTCTTCCCATTGGCCTTAAATACAAACAACATGGCCATGCCTGTCGAGATGCATTGTTTCATGTTTATGCAAAAAAGGGGAGGCGCTTGAGGGGGTTTGTGACCTCTTTCACCCATGAGGGTTCCTTTCTCGCGGGCCCATAATTTCCGAAGTTCGCTCGGTGAATTCTTGCGCTCGTTCTCATGATTCATGACTGTGTCCACCTCACAGCGAAGTTGACGTTGGGACCAAAAGGCAAAGACGACATTGGGCTTTTCTTGTTGGAGCGTTCGTTTGGATGGAACGGGTTTCGACAAATTCGGATTTGGTCTGAGGCGCAAGAGGCTGAGGCAGAGGCCCCAGCTGAGGCGCGCTTGGAATATCTGGACACCTTGGAAGTTGGCGAGTTGAAGGGAAACCTTAGAATCCCCGAAAAGATGCTGGTATATTGTGTACTTGAGCCTGGGGACTCTTTGGCGGAACGTAATTATGCCAATGCAAGTTCATGTGTTTTTCCCCCGTTCAGCGAGCTTGCCATCGGAATTCTGCGGTTGTCTGTGGTGTAAAGAGCACCTCCCAGCTTGCCAGCACCGCGTTTTCGGGCCGCTGGCTTTTCGAACGAGAAGGTAAGGAAAGTGCCGGGGAGCCTTACTATTGCAATAGAGTCCTGTACCCAGAAGGTTCAAGTGTTCCATTTACCAGGATTCTATTTTGGGTATCTGTTTTTGACCCACAGCCAAGTATCTTGTAGGGATTTTCTTCCCATCCGAGTACTTGGACCCTCTTTCACCTCCACAGTGGTTCCGGCTTCTGTGATACCTGTCAAATCCCCCATTCAGCGAAGAAGTCGTGATTGGCACGGCCTCCCATCAATTTCCCGGCGAATTGGGACTTTGGGCTGAATCAGTTGGACATACGAGTGTGTGTCAAAGGATCTCCAGTTCGGGCTCTTTCCGAGGTGAAGGCGAGCCCAAAGAAGGCTTCGAGTCCAAAGAAGGCTGCGAAAGCGCGTGCACGGGCGAATGCTTCGCCCAAAGCCTCCGCGTCGTCTACACCAGCGCCCATTTCCAAGGAGAAGCTGCAGGAGAAGTTATCCAAGGAGTGCAGGGCAAGCACAAGACGTGGAGAGCAACCTTCCCCACAGTCTCGCAAAGTATCAAGAGAAGTTTTGAGAGGACCATCCCCCTTAATGTTAGCTTATTGGAGCAAAGGGACTTTCTAGGTACCCAGCAGACATCCCTCTCATCATCTTAGGGCCTCGACAGGGTACCGGGAGAGTTTAAGAGGCTAAGTAAGTAATTAGGGAGTACCCACCTACACGAAGAGCCCCTTGAACAATGGATTTCTTTCCCTAAAAGTTTCAGGACTCCTTTTGGAGGTATGAAACAACCGTTTTTTTCAGCAAAGGTATACAAGGTGCCGGCCAGTGTTTGTGTCCAACCGCCTTCAAGCCCCAAAGGCGGCGAAAGAGTATGCCATGCACCCAGACATTGAAAGACCAACTTCACTGCGGGTCTCCCAGTTGACACGGTTGGTCTTTTCCACTGTTTGTGGGCTGAAAAAGCAGCCCCCCTGGTAGTGTAGAAACCCTTTTCAAGGGAGGCTGTTCATTTCAGTGGAAAAGGCAAACCCTGGTAGGAAGCTTTTCAAATAAGCGGTTTCCAACTCGACCACATCTTACATACTTCCCCGTAGGATGATGATATAAAGCAAGTCTAACATCTAAGGGTTGAACCTTGAACGACCAGGCTGGGATCTTTACAATTAATCTGGACAACCCAACCAACCCATCCCTAAAGACCCCTAGGAACCCTGCAAACCCTTCCCCTGCTCACCTGAATATCCCACAGCTTTTTGACTTTTCTGCCTCGCCCTTTAAACTGGGCGGATGGTAATCACTTTGGTATCACCATCCGGTTTCTGAGGCTAAGTTGTTATTTGGTTTAGTGGTAGTGTCCATTAGGGTATGGCTCAAAATCAAAGAGCTGGGGGGTACACGGTTTTAGTCTTTGGTTCCATTTGCCAAGGTGCCATTTTGGTACCACTTTTTTGAGCCACAGCGTTTCGCCCACCAAAAGCTCGACTTTGAGCAGGGGATCCCAGGACAGATGCTTCACTTGCGTTTAGTTGTTTGCGGTTCCCCTTTGTGTAGGGGTTTGCAACTTAAGCGATGCAATGCTGGCAACGCGCGCCTTTTGCAAAGGCCATCTCTGTCACTAGTAGAACGTCGGGATCCCCCACTGAAAATGAAGGGTCATGTTCCGCAACCTTGAACAGTGTTCAAAACGGGCTCTGGCTTCTCAAACTTTTTTTGTTTTTCTTGGTTTCCATTAAAACAAGCCACGAAAATGGGGCACCCTGAAAGAAATCTTGGTTTTCCCTTCATAAACCACACACAGGGGTACCCTTAAAAAGCAAGCCAGACATATCAACAAGCGTGTTTCCGAGACCCAACTGTTTTTTTTTTCTTCCCCCCCTTGATTTTTTGGTTGGTGGGTTGAATAGCCTCCCCCCGTTTGTGGCTCGTTGAATGTGACGGGCGACTATATCCACCAACCCGAAATGGGGTATGAAAGAATTCTTGGTTCACAAAAGGGTACCCTAAAAAAGAAGGACAGACCCATCAATCAGCTTTTTCCACAGAAAATGTCCCTAAAAAAGAAGGACAAACCCATCCTTCCGCGTTTTCCCGAGCCCAACCCTTTTTTTCCCCCCGCCACAGGAGCTGCGGGAGATCTCCCCAGACCCGGAGCTCGCGGAGGAGGCCGAGAAGTTGGCGGAGGCGCAGGAGCTGCCCCGCGACGCCTGCGAGGAGTGGACGCGACTCATGCAGCTGTCCACCCAGAAGACCAAGGCGCCCGGGATGTCGAAACAGTTTGTTTGTTTTTGTTCCGTGTCCCTGGCTTTTTTTCCATTTCGCTGAAATGAATTTGTTTTTAGTTTTTGTATTTTGATTTTCCCGTTTTTTTTGGTTTTTCCTGTTCATTTTTACAAAGGGGGCTGCAGAAACAAAGTGTTTGCTATTTCCATCCATTCGCCGAAATGAACATGTTGTGTTTTTTTCCCCAGTGTTGGTGTTACGGGGATTCCATCGCTGATGGACATGTTGTTTTTGTCCGCATGGGACTGAACAATGAGAGCTGTGGGAGGCGGAGAACGGAGAACCAGACGATGTCTCTCGTTATTTCTATTTTGTTTCACCCCTGTTGGTTCTTGAGAGGTGTTCGTTTCCCGGAGGTCTATATACCCGAGATGAAAGCTCAAACGGTTTGGGGTGGGTTTAGGGTCGGTGTGGGGTCTAGGGTTGATAGAAAGTTGGCTCGGGTTTTAGGGTGGGTTTAGAGTGGCTTTAGGATGGGTTCAGTGTGTTTTCAGGGTGGGTTGATTGTAGGTCTGGGATTGATTTTAACGTTGGCTTGGGTTCAGGGCAGGCTTAGAGTGGGTTTAGGATGCGGCTAGGGTGGGTTTGGGGTGGGTTTGGGGTGGGTTTGGGGTGGGTTTGTTCGGGTTGGCTTAGAATAGGTTCGCTTGAGGAATATAGTTCTGTTGAGGGTTGGTTGAAGGTTTGCGGGGTTGAGGGTTGGTTTAGGGTTTCAGTTTGTTTTGTTTGGTGTGTTTTGCTTCTTTGTTTGTTTCGTGTGTTTCGCTTCTTCGTTGTGTTGGTTTGTTTTGGTTTGGTTTGGCTCGGTTTGCTTGCTGGGTCGCTCGGTCGGTCGCTTGGTTCCTTGGTGTCTTCGAGGCCTCGCTGCGCAGCCTTTGGCTGCCAACGGAGGGCTCCAAGCAGCAGGCGGCGGTGCGCGGCTCCGCAAAAAAAAGAGAGAGTCAGAAGCAGATTTGGTGATATTCTTGATTGCTATTGGGTTGGATCTTTAGACTTTAAGCTTTTTGGGAAATCAAGGCGTTTTCGACTAAACCCGCAAAAAGTTAAAGTTTTTGCAGGGGGGTCAACAGCAACCACGTATTTTGCTTGCATCGGGGTTGGCCTACTTTTGTTTGTGAGGTTTTGATGGTGTTGTTTGTTTCGGGGTGTTTTGTTTGATTTCGTTTCGATCAGTTTGATTTGCTCACGTAGCCTTTTTGGCCATCCAAGTGCTATGTAATTGTTGCAGCCATGTATCTTCTTGTTTTTCCAGACACTCTATTGGTGTGTGTGTGTATTTTTGGGGGACTCCCCTACGTTTTCTGAGGCCTTGTGCGGCACCTCGCGGGCTGGGGGCCCTCACTGCAGGACACGCTAGTGGCTGGGTTTCCGAGCTTCACCCACAAGCTGAAAGGAAACCAGAAGGGATGGCTTATAAGGGTCATTCCCTCATTCCCTGCTGAGCACCAGCAAGTGTTTCTGTTTTGGTGGAAATGAGAATTCCTGGTGGAAAACTGTTAGCAGGGGATCAGTTTGGACATCCATCAAAACCCACCGAAGGTTTTCGACTTTTAGCAGGGGACCAGAAAACGGAGAGCCCAGCAACAAGCTGCTTCCATTTGCTTAAGAATATGTGTCATTTTCCCTGCTTGGTTTCAGAAAAGAATATATCACTACCGGACATATGTTTTTGCTGTTCTAGGGGGCGAAAAAACCAATCTCTGCTTGGTTTTAAAGGATTATAATGGAAACAACAAAAAAACATTTGTTTTCTAGGGCTTCAGCAAATTAGACGACCCTTAAGAGACAGATGCCGGACTTCCGGAAGCAGGACGTTGCCCTCTTCCAGGCCGCAGGCCTGGTGCAGGCTCCGGCGCGGCGCCTGCTGGGCAAGACACAGGCAGCGGTGGACCCGGCCAAGGCGCCGCGCTTGCAGGCGGGGGGTTTGCGTGTTGTTGTATTCTTCTTTTGTCCCCTTTGTTTTTTCTTTTCTGTTTTTTGTTCATTATTTGTTTGTTTTCCGTTTTTTGTTGTTTCTTTCTTTTTCCGGAGACACGGCGTTTCTTTCTTTTTTTTGGGGGGGGTCAACTCCAAAAGATTGGTGTCCGTTTTTAGGTTAGTTTGGTTGGAAAGGTGTCCTTTTGATGGCGTAGTTTGGTTGGAAATCGATGGATTCCACAGACTCAGAGGGGTTTTATGAGCCATTTAATCAGGGCCATCTGGTTTACAAAGGGACACTGTGCTCCAAAACGATTTGATATATTTGATTCGCCTGAGTATGCACCATCTGATAAAAGGTTTATTTTTGTCCAGATGTGGGCCAAGGTTTAGGGGAGCCAAAAGAAGAGATGGGGATTTGCGGTCTGTGTTGTTGTGTATTTGTTTGGCCCAAAGGTTGTGTTCCTGAAGCGTCCCTACCTTCTGAGGATCTACTTGAGTGGTCACAACCAAGGGGTCAAAAACCATCACCCAAGTGTGGCATTTCTGGGAGTAGTGCGTTTAGTTGACATCAGCCTCGTCCAAGTACCACGTTGTAACTTTAACGTGGGCCGTTCACAGGTGATCGAGATCCTTTCCATTGGGTTGCGAAAGCTTGATCTTCGTTTGAGTGCTCACTTCTGCTTTGTTTCGTAGTATTCTGTTTGCCGAGACTTCCGAATTTCAATTCCCATCCGGCTTGCCAGTTTCAAAAAGCGTGTTCACTTCCCTTGCGTTGTGTCCTTGTCCCCGGGAATGCTCTAGTGCTCTGTTTCCTTGTTTTTCTTGGCGCTGTTTGTTTGGCGAAGATCCAGATTCCACGCATCACGCATCGCGACTCTGCCAGGCCAAAGCCCGGGCCAAAGCCCGGGCCCAGGCCAAGGTGAGGGCAAAGGCGAAGGCGTTGAAGCCGCCGCCCTTGGAGGAGCTGGTGTCGCCGCGTGCCAAAAATGTTTTTGCCGCCGCAGATGTGTTCGTGCTTTGTTGAAAGGAGATGCGTGTGAGTTGAGACACCTGCAGTTGATTAAAAGCATGGCCCCATTTTAGAGGGGATCGGTGAGTTTTGGTAACAGCCCTCATGCAGGTTGAGAAATTTGGGGTTAACATGACTTTGGGCAAGACGAATCACCTCAATAGCTCCCGCAAAGCTTCAACCCCAAATTGATCAGCTGAGCAGAGTGCCCGGCACTGACTCCTTTGGAGTGAGTTGACTTTCAAGCACCTTGAGAGTCATTGCTTAGGCAAGAAGCGCCGCACATTTGTTGTGGGAGAGGTGCGGGGAGTGCGGCCCTGCAGGCTGGTGAACGGGAACCCATATTCATTGTGTGTGTGGCTGTGCGGGGTAGTCGGATCAAAGCTAGTTCATGCACTTGAAAGGGCCCAGCTTCTCTTGATATTTTTTGATGTTCTTCATTGTTGGCAAAGTTACTCCAAGTGTTTGATCTGCCCATGTCAACAAGTCTTCCGGGGAACTCTGGTAAAAGTGGTGGGTGGACATAACTGCCCATGCAAATGATGCTAGCAAAAGCATCCCAACGGAAAGTTCATACCCCTTTAAACATTGCGATCTAAGTTTCCTTCAATCGCTAGATGTTCTTGGCTCAACTCAGGTCTGGGAAGATCCCGGAAGAACAAGCAGAGCGCTACGAGGCTTTGTGCGATTCCGGGCTCAAGGAGCGAATAGTGGTTACGGGATGGGCAGCGCTGATATTCTTATACTGGCAGCATAATGTGGTTCATGAAAGACTGAGGTGTCTCACTTTTAAAGGGACTTATTTTGTCTTTGGGGAAAACACCCCCGGTGAATCCGCAAGGTTCATTGCTGGGTTGACATGAATTCACTACAACACATCAATTCCAGTGACAGGATCTTGGAAGACTTCCGTGAACCATAAAGAACCCTTCTTTGGCTTCAACGGTACTGTACCTAAGCTTGGGCTTTCGTGTTGTTGTTTCAGGCTGATCATGTTGATGGGGGGCTGCATTTGTTTCCGGTGTGTGTTGAAATGCCAGGGGATCTGCGAGGTTTGCTATTGGAGTTTCTCCTTTTGTTGAGAGCACCAGAAGGAGGCTGAAATTTGGCAAACAATTGCACGATTCTGCGGCAACGTTGTGGAAAAGCCACACGTTTCACCCAGTACTGCAGTGCTTCAGGCATGTAAATGGTACACGTGTATGTGCAGACGCAGGCTATGCGTCCTTTGTATTTGGGGCATGCATTCTGATAACTTCACAAACGCAACTACAGTAATTATTCGGGCTTTGATCCCCATAAGCCGAAGGACATGCCGTTGATGTTGATGTTGGCTTGAGTGTCCGGTCCCAGACTGTTTCATGGACAAGAATCTTCAAGATTGCGGAGCCACATTTGCCAAAGCTACCCGTGGTACGTAGGTGGTGCCAGTGGACAAACATAGTTATTATCGAGCTCGTGGAAAACGCAAGAAGGTCTAAAGAGACATCCCAGCCCAAGTTTGGTTGGGACTTGTCCTAGCAGTTTTTGTTTTTTTTCGCCAACCGCCCCGATCGGGGGGCAGTACCCTAGGTTTGGGTCTTATGTTTCCTTGCTGCGATAAGTAGGGAATGACCGAGTCCTTGCTGGTTTTGGGAATGCACCGTTTGGGCATTCCGTAGGAAGCCACAGGGGATGCAAAAAAATAGACACATCATGGGACCCCTCTTTGCATCAAGAGGGAAAACATGTGATGTCGATCAACATAGTCAACTTGTTCCATGGACATGGGAGACAGCATTTCAACCACCACGGTGACTCACCACTTGCGCAGTTCTGGGATCTCCTGAAAACAAAAATATATATCTATATATATGCCCTGAGAGTCCAAAGGCCTTTCGAAGATAGGCCTCTGACAAGAGGCCTCATAAAGGCCAAAAGGCCTCATTGAGTATCATGCTGAGTATATGAGCTGAGTAACACTAGCCAAAATGCGCATGAAACTATAATTTATATATATATATATTACCCTACCTATGCAAAAAGTTCGTTTGGGTTGATCACGCGTCTGTTTCCCTTTCGCTATCGCTGCATCTTCAGAGAGCGTCTAAACCAGCGCGAGTTGGAAAAGAGAGCATGGATCAAGCTCCACCAAACGTCCACGCAGGCAAAAGTTCCAAAGATTGCAAATTCGGACAAGCCCCCAAACAAAACACGTCCCGGATCGTATACCCTCAAATATACCCCTGTCCACGCGCAAACCATGACTTTTCGGGGCCGTTCCACGGCTTTTCGAGGCCTTTCCACGGGAATCCACGGGTTGTCCACGGTCCAGGCGGTACCCAGCCACAAATGCATTTATTTTTGAACATCGATCCCAGGAGTGCCTGTGAAATCACACACGCATAGTCTGATCTGAATTGCTACCTGCCAGGAGTGCCAAACACATGCGTTGCCCCTGCATCAACACCTCCTAGCCAGGCCGTAGGGCTAGCTGCCAGAAAGGCTCACAGCCGCTCAGGGGCGATTTCCAGTGGCTGGATCCCCTCTAGCACCCTTCGAGAAAAAAGGTGGTCCCAAAGATAGTCAAGATTGCCACACATACTTTTCAAGGCCTAGGCCTTGAAAGGGAACATACTAGTTAAGGCCGAAGGCCTCACTTAGTAAGGCCTAAGGCCTTACTTAGCAAGGCCCTGAGCCTCCAAAAGTAGGCCTCTCCAACAGAACAAGGCCTAGGCCTCACCAAGAGAGGCATTGGACGCTTAGGGTATGTATATGTTATACAATATTTGGGGTAGACGGCAGACGTGTTTTTGTTTGCTCATTTCTGCATTCTCATATTTATCCTCAAAAAATACATGTGATATTCGGGGTAGACATGGGAGTCTAAGATGTGAGCTCGTATTTGTTTTCCCGTGGTTCGATGGCTTCAAGATGTCGGGTCGCCTGGGACCGGGGCTGGCAGGAGCTCAGGGAGATGGCGGAGCAGTTGTGGCTGGACGCGGAGGGCCGACCGCACCAGCTGGCCCTCCGTGCCTCCCAGAAGGTCAGCCCCGTTTTCCCCGTGGTTTGTTTATTGTTTTGTTTTTTTGTTATTTTTTTTTGGCAGGGGCGGGTTCCCTTCAAAGGAGTTTTTTTGTTTTTTTGTTGCTTTCTTTTTTTCAGCCGGGGCGGGGTTCACTTCAAATGGTAGTTGCACCAAAGTCTGTCCCGATGTTTTTGTTTTATTGAGTTTGCACGCTTCCGACGTGTCTGAGGTGGTGAAGGCTCAGAGGCTCCGTTACTCTAACAAATCACAAAGGGGAGGACTTGTCCAAAGCGAAGTTTTCGCCTTGTGGTTTCCCCGGTTTGGTCCATGTTTACTTTGGTGCATTTTGTTTGGCTGTTAGGACTTTAACTTTTTGCCAACTAATGGGTTTTCCACTAAACCACTAAAAGTTCAACTTTTAGCAGGGGAGCAGAAAGCAACCGAGCGTTTAGTAAAGGTCTCAAAAGCTTAGCCATTTTTCAGGCTGAAGGGGCAACTGAGTTAAATGACTGGCCAGAATTCCGCAGAGTTTCCCTCACCTTCCACATGGAAAATTTGAAGGATTCGCCTAGGCGAAGTCCACAGGATCATGTTCTTCGGATTTTCCAGGTTTGAATGGCGCATGACCTGGGAATTCCCTTTTTCAGTATATTGAACGTTGATTTGACATGGATTATTTGAGGTTTCCCAGGTCCAAATCAAAACCAAACCGTTGTTTAGGTCCCTTCCCGAAGACTTTTGAAGGTGTGCCAAGGGCTTCTTACGTGTCAGTTCGGCCTTTTCCCTGCCCCCCTTAAATGCTATTCCCCTGATCTGCCCTTGATAGATATTCTATGTGAGTGTTGCCTTTCAATTTTGGGATATATGGTCAAGGGTTCGCAAGTCCGGCCCCCCCTCCCCACCCCCATAGTTCCCATATAAAGTTAGGCAAGCCAAAAGCAACCCCACCTCACTTGACTGCTATTGTGTTGGATCTTTAGACTTTAACTTTTTGGGAAATCAAGGCGTTTTCCACTAAACCCCCCCCCCCCCAAAAAAAAAAAAAAAAAACTTTTTGCAGGGGGGTCAACAGCAACCAAGCTTAGGGACCGCTTTAAGAGAACCACCCAGTGGGCCAAAATCTGTCAGCTCACCGAGGCATCGTGCGGCACTTGGCCGGCCTGGAGCCGCTGGAGGAAGCAGAGCCCAAGGCGAAGCCCAAGGCCAAGGCCAAGGCGGGTGAATCTTGGCTGGGGAACGCCACCTGCCCAAATTGGCCATACCCCAAAATGGCCATACCCCAACTTGGCCATGCGTACCCCGAAATGGCCAGGGCTCTCCTTTTGAGTTCAGTTCAAAAGAAAGACCCCAAACAAGTGCCCTCAGAAAAGAAGGTGGGTCATGTCTCGGAATTGGGGTTTCCTTTTGAGTTCCCTTACGCCAAGCCCAAAAAGGGTGCTGTAAAAACAACATAAACAGACAGACCGGCTACCAACCGTTCGCCCACCTTCAGATTTACGGAAGAAGCCTAACAAAAACAATGTGCTCACAAAGGTTTGGTTTGCCGCCTCAGTCGGCCCATATTTAATAGTTGAATCTGACAGTAGCCGCGAACCCGAATGCAGATTAGTTACTTGCCAAACGCTATACCGTCGTAATTTACTTCGCGACTCTGGGGCCGCATTTCTGGACAGCATGTGTGAGACTCATTTTCTGCGACGACAACACGACAAACCAGACAAATGCTGCAGGTACTACACCAGGTTGCCCCTGCGCCGTGTCACGGAAACATCGCAGCAACACTTGCGGTTGCAATTCCTCGTTGCCCATTTTGCACACAATCTCGATTTGTTTGTCCTGCAACATCCTGCAACGCTTTCTTTGCGACAGCCTTTGCCAGGTGCCAACTGACTTGCGTGCTTTGCTTGCCGCTTGCTGCACTTGCTCTTTGCATTCTTGTACTTCACGACTTTCCCGGATGTCCAGCTGCGTTGCTTCGCAAATTGCGTTGCGCGTCCTAAGGCGCATCAAACGCGATTGTCCCAAGACAATACCCCGAATCCCGAAGCAAAAACGCCTGGCGACATTCTCAACGAATCAAGGCCCCATCCAAGGCATGTTCGAGACATGTCCCAAACACATCCCACAGGCAACCTCCGAGAACGCGACCCAACAACACTCAGAGACAGCCACAAAGACACCACTCACATCCTTGACACAAGACATCCAAAGATTCAACTCCGAAGACACCCCCCAAGGACGCCTCAGGAAGACAACCGCAAAGTCGTTGAGTCTTCGAAGTCGCTCCCGGAGACATCGCCCAAGACAACTGAAGACGGCGCCGTCAACGAGATCCCCAGAACACCTTCCAAAGACGTCCCCAAAACTTCAAAGCCACCCCCAAAGACTACAGACTTGTCCCAGGACAACCGCGAAGACGTTCCCAAAAAACTCCCCCAGAATTGACACACAAAATATGGGTTCCTCAAGGCTCACTAAAACACGTCCAGTGGATGCAGCAGCCAACGTAGAAAAGGTGAACCCTTTTATGGCTCAGGCTTGGCTAGGTTTGACAAAAGAGTACGCTCAAAGCTCACAGCAGCCAGAGCCACTCTGAAACCCCGCCCCCACCCCCCCCTCTCAAGTGGCAGGAAGGTCCTAATGTTGGCCCCAGATGAATCAACCCCAGTTTATTAACAGGGGGACCCCCCTATGAATAAACTGGGGTTGATTAGTATGGGGTCAACATTATACAGTAATTATACACCTAGGTCCCCCAGTAGTGCCCTTTTACCGTTTCTTTTTTTGAGGGGAGGGTTCCCCTACTAAAAAAACGTCCAGAAAAAAAAGGGTGCCAACTTATTCTAACTTCTCTACTGGAGGATCTAGCCTTGCTTGTGGAATTCCCTGACTTTGTTTTAATGTTGACCCCAGATTTATCAAGCCCAGGGGCCCCCACCCCCCTATTAAGAAGCTGGGGTTGCTTAATATGAGGTCAACATTAGACACAAATCAATCAGTTGCACTCGGGTGAACCAGGCAATCCCCTTGAGGCGAAGCGGAAGCTACGGGGCGCGCGCCTGGGGGCGAGTTCCCGTTTGGGCCGAGGGAGAGTCGGCGGCGCCTGGGCTCAAGAAGGAGTTCGCCTCGAAGGGTGGGTCTTTTTTGTTGAGGGTGCCGTCCAAGTTCCGCAGAATGATGAAACACATCCCTGTTTTAAGGGTAGTATGGGTAGTTTCAGGGTTCAGGCTGTCTTTTGTACAGGGTATCCCCTTTTGGTTGGCTTTGTAAAGGGAAAAGAAGAGGAACACCCTTTTTGGGGGGTCCCCTAGTGTTTTTACACATGTAGAAGCTGCCAAAACACTTTTTGCGTACATACTCTCGATCGGGCAACACTACACCTTTGCGTGGTCGCTCTGCGAGCATGCCCCGAGCGCTTGTTCTGCATTGCTGGCTGCCTTTGTGCCAAAAGGCCCTTCGAATTCATCAGGATGCGAACTCAGTTTGGACATTGATCGAGGGGTTGATTCCAACCATTCTTTTCAACCATCGTTCTTTCAACAACCCATCGCTGCTTCTCCAGGGTTTCGGTTTTGTAGAAAGAAGGACGCCTGGAAAGACTGGGAAGGTACCCCTAGAATTGAGCCAAAGCCGAGCATACGACAACAAGTCGGGGAGCTTCCAATTCGCCATTCATGGCTTATGTCCGGAATGGCAGTGGTGGACTGCAAATTCAGCTGCTCAAGCTGCTTCTGCTGAGTCGACTGTGTGAATGCAGTGATTTTTCCCCATCAAACCACGTTTCAGGGGGTGCAGATTCTGCAAATCTTCGCCTCGCACAGAAGTTGATGTATGTTTGCTTAGCATGAGCATGAATTTGCACTGAAAAACATCCGGCATGTTCGATGTCCATGGTGTGGGTATCAAAACGCTCAATGCCAATACTCATAGTAGCACTTTGCATGCAAAAACGCTCCAGCGTCAGTTTCCAACCAACACCAAATGGACCCTTTGACCCGTTGGATTTTCCAGATGTCGTTTGCCGCAAGTTTCACGACCCTTGGCCCCCGTCAGCCTTAGGGGAGGGGACCGGCGACCAGCGTTGTGCAATCCCATCCTTTCGAGAACCCGCGGGAACCTCGGGGGCCCAGAAGGGTTTGCATCGAACAGCAAGAAGCAAACAACAAACACAAGGGACCTAGAGTCTCCTTCTGACGCTTTAAAAATAGGTCCACGACCAACCATTGGGTAATGACCAGCCATTTTTAAAGGGTCAGGGTCGGAGACTCCAGGGAGTGGCGTTGCTTGCGACTCAGGTGGCTCTCGAGCGGCCAAAACGGCCGGTGCTCGGCCGGCGGGCCCAAGCAAGATGAAGCTTAGGACGGGGACCTCAGTTGTTCAGTGGCACCCTTTGTTTGTGTCCCTTTTTTTGGTGGCTGCCCTACAAAAAATGGTCCAATCTGCCGAAAAGGGTTTTCCTTCGTTTTTTCCAGGGTCACTGAGCAACTGAGGGAGTTGGATGGCTCCAAAATGCCCGGGCGAGTTTTGGCTTAGACCAATGCGCCACCCGAGGAGTCCAGGTCGATATCCCTCCGCCAGGCCCCAAGGTAAGCCCTTTACAGGCGGATTGAGGAAGGCGTCTCGGAGGGGGCACGGCGTCAATGCCAAGTGTTGCACCGCACCGTCTGATCATCATATTTATTCAGGGGGTGAAATGTCCGGCATGAAAACGTATGGTTGTCTGAGCGAACGACTAGGACAACCTGTTCCTGGGTTCAGTGGCTGGTGGTTGTACTATCCTCGCTTGGAATTTGGCACGTGGCACCTTCAGTCTGGAAGGAAGCACGTGTGTTTAGTACAGCCTTGTTCAACGCAGCTGATGTGATTGATGGAGGCATACGTATCTGCAGGATAAACCTTCACACTATGCCCCGTGCACTTTCTGGCTTGAACAAAAAGTGCCACGTCGTCCGTCTCAAAGGGTGAGGGTGAGTAAAACGACGACAGCCCGCCGGCGGGAGCACCGAGATGGCAGGGGAGGCTGTGCGCATCCCGAGTTTGCAGGACCTTCCTGGTGTCGTTTCTGCAGCATGCAGAGTCTTAGATGCATCATCTCGGCAAGCGAAGTCAACCTTTTGCACTCCTTTTGGAGTCCTTTTGGTTTCCTGGAGTCAATGCGTTCATGTTTAGTCATGGCCCCAAAGGCTGCAGTATCCTTTCTCTCAGGTGAACAGTCTGCATTGTTTCGGCCGGGTTGGTTTGGGGACGATATTATAATAATCATTGCCGTTCATGTGTAGCATTTATATAGTACTGTGTGTGCAATGTGTGTTTGCACATTGGCTTGTGACTGACTTGAAGCAGATCGTAGCACGCCAGACCTTGAATTTAAATGCAGTACTGTCTCTTGAATTCAGGGAAGACATGGAGCCGGCCATGTTTTTGTTGTGTCGGGGGAAAGTCCAGTTTAGACAAAAACCTACATGCTGTGACGATGGCTGTGCATGGTTGATATCACAGTCCCATACTGATTCAGAGCCACAGCAATGGCAGCCGTGATGGCGCCTAACAGTCAGGTTTGGCCGCTTGTAGTCGCTGCCACGCATTCTTGCATCCATGACATCAGCTGATCCTTGTAGCAGGGCAAGGCAGGTGTGCCCGACTTGCTCTTTTGAAATATTTTGAAATGATGAAGTTGGTATGGACGAAACCCCCATTTGGCGGGTGGGTCATCAACCCTTCAGTATTTAGTTTTAAGCAAACATCAAGCCAAATGGGGGTTGGATCACATCTATCAGAAGCCCTTCCGGACATTTTCCAGAACGTGAGCGTTTGGCTAAACCAATAGCTGTTATCTTGAAGATTTTGGGGGAACCCCCCAAAAAGAGGCCTTCAACAACAACTCCTTTGCGATGTTTGTGGTGCTTTTGGCATGATACGTACACTTTCCATGTGGGTGTGTCTTACATAAAATAGGGCTAATTTGCTGTTGTTCCTTTTGGGTTCCCTCAGGGTACCCTTGAAAAAGATGCACCCATCTTGAAAGAGAGAAGTTGTTTTGGGTCCAAGCCCTTGACAATAGACCCAAGCCAGCTAGATTCACTAAGTTGGGCACATGTTTTTTTCAATTCAGATGCAAGTTCGTACGCTTTCCATCAGGCGAAACCTCAAAGGGGCCAAAGCCCTTTTCCTAGGGTGCCCTCTTACCCTTTTTTGGTGGAGGGTTCCCCTACTAAACCAGACGTCCAGAAAAAAGTGGGTACCCTTCTACCTCTCTACTGGAGGACCTAGTTGGATAGACCAGTTGTTATCAGATACAAGTTCGTCCAATTTTCCATCAGGCGAAACCTCAAAGGGGCCAGTGGGTACCCTTATTCCAACCTCTCTACTGGAGGACCTAGTCTTGAAACACGTGGCATTGGGTCCTGAATCAACTGTAGACGAGACGCCAGGCCCATAAAACCAGTTGTTATCAGATACAAGCTGGTACAATTTCCCACAAAAAACCTCAAAGAACCCCAAGCCCTTACCTGAAGTCTCCATGACCCGAAATAGAAATAGGTCCATGACCAACCATTATTTAGGATAATGACCAACCATTTTCAAAGGGTCAGAAGGAGACTCTAGGAATAGACCCCAGCCCTTATAGACCCCCTTATTCCAACCTCTCTACTGGAGGACCTAGTTGCATAGACCCAAGCCCCAGGACATCGAGCAGACCACCTTCGGTCAGCTGAAGCAGAGGGCCGCGGAGGAGTTCGGGGAGCTGCGGGAGGAACAAATCGAGACGCTGCGTGACTTGGTGGCCACGGCCATGCGCAAGCAGCTCGGGGTGAAGAGGAGCCGCCAGTTGCTCTCGTTTTTTTTTTTGTCACCCCTGCGGCCGTGTCTTGTTTGGGGACCCCATTTTTTTGGTTTTTCTCACCCTGCGGTTGTGTCTTCTTGTTTGGGGACCCCCCAAAAAAATCGTGGTTTCCTGGTGGCTTCCCTTTAAAACGGACCAAAAAGCGGCACCAACCAGTTTCCCTAGCTGAAAGCTCTAGGGGTTCTATCTTCCAAAGAGGGGAAAGTGATCATCCGCCGGTTCTTCGCTATCTTGGGTCTATGCTGGTGTTTGTTTTTTTTTTCTTCACCCTGCGGCTGTGTCTGGTTTGGCGCCTTTCAAAAATCGTGATGTCCTTGTGGCTTGCCTAAAAAAAGCCACCAAAAAGAGGCACCAAAGGAGAAAAAACAGAGCCATGTACAGCCACCCTCAAACTATCCATAACAAAGGAAACTCAGTCATCATTATGGGGCAATACCCTATTTTAGAGGAACTTTGAGGGTCCAGGAAGTTCTTCTTTTTTTGCCACCATGTCAATGTGGTGAATTCGATTTAGGGAGATTGGGGACGCACGATTTGTTTGACCACAACCATGGGAATCACACATGAACTACTGTCATTTGGGCCACACAGTTCGATCGTGACTCAGATGTTACTGGATGAAGGCGTTAGCTAGGGGAGAGTCCATGAGTAGGTTCGGCTTTCCGCGCGTGGAATCCTTTCTTTCTTTGCTTGGTTTGGGTAGACTTCTTGAATCATGCTTCCTCAGGATGAACATTTGTGAACAAAAAAGCACTGTCCTGTGTTATGCCTTTCCATAGTTGTTGTTGGGAAACATTTTACATTTGTGCTTGTTGTGGTTTAGTGGGAAATCCCCACTTAACTGCTAAACAATATTTTCTGCTCCCCTTCCAACGTCAACCAAGTTTCAGCCAACGCCACTTGACCAGTTGACAAGCTCAATGGCCAGTCCTCCACTGACAGTTCCCAGACCTTGCAGGATGTCTCGCTTGGTTTCACCATGGATTCGGAGCGGGGCCGTCTTGTTTGTTTTGCTCAATGTCTTCATTGTGCTTGTTTTTGTGTTTATTGGGCTTGGAATTGGCATACTGCACGTATCGAATCTGTGGTGACACCAGCACCTGACCTCTTTGGCGCCCAGCCAGCGGCAAAACCGAGCAAAGCTTCGGCCCAGTTCGCTGTGGTGCAGAAGTGCTGGCAACAGAGGAAGTTCTTGTTCTCTTTCTGATGCGACACCCATTTTGAACCAATCTTGAAAGCCAAGGTTCCACTCGCAGAGCGCTTTTTCGCAGGGGGGTTGTTTTATCCAGGGTCATCGCTGTCCAATTTTTGCAGCTTCTCATGTCCTCACCATAGGTTCCCCTATAAGACTGCCTTATTGAACTTATGGGAATACAGAAACGCAGAAACCCCCCGAAAAGTGGGAGATTCCACTTAGAGGTCCATGACCAACCACCACCAAAGTGGGGCTTGATATTGTAACTTTAGTCTGGATGCTGGCGGAGTCTGTACGAAGTGCTTTTTTTTGTTTCGAATGGGGTTCGTATGGCCCTTGGTCATCGCTACTGCAGATGATGCCGTGCGCTGTCATCCCCGGATTGTAGAATAAATTTGGCAGATTGAGGGCTTCCTCCAAAAGTGAAGGGTCCGCAATGGATTGCATTACACCACCCAATCACAATCGATGATTTTGAGTAAGTGGCATCATAGACAATGAAGACAACTCAAAAAGCCAAAACAGGATAGGCAATTGCTTGGTTCAAAACCAGACCGATCGGACACTCAGTTGTTGAGAGGGGTTTGTGCACTTGGTGGCTCCCAGCCATCCGCTGAGCCTTTTAGCGTGTTAGGGTTTAGTGGGCGGGGGGATCTGAAAACGGACAGCCCGTTCAGGAGGAAGAAGGGCCGCCTGCCCGCAGACGAGGTGCCTGTCGAGCCGAACGAGGTGCCCGTTGAGGCCGGGGATGGCCGGGGACGGCCGGATCAATCGAAATGCGCATTGCGTTCTCACCACACCCTGGATCGCCAGTTGCTGTCTGTTTTCTTCATGCACTTTGCCCCCAAAACCAGCAACAGTGACTGAAAGCAGCAGCAAACTTGGCTATCTAGGACGTTGTGTTTGGTTGCCTGGGCGATTTCGGCTTTTGTGACCGATTTTTGCTGTTTGCGTTGCTTTGCTGTTGGCGTGCTTTGCCGGGCATCTAGCTGGGCTTCTGCTTTGCATGGCTTGCTTACGCGTGTGTTTGTTTGTTTGATTGGGTGGTTGGTTGGTCGGGTTGGTTGGTTGGTTGGTTGGTTAGTTGGTTGGTTAGTTGGTTCGCTGGGTTGGGTTGGTTGGTTTTGCTTTTCCGGTCGTCCTTTTGATTGCGAGCTTGTGAGTGTGTCCTCGATCTTTGTGATTGGCTTGTTTGTTTGTTTGATTGTAGTGTTTGTTTGACCTGCTTCGGGTGCCTTGCTCGAGGCCAAAGAGGCCAAAGAGGTCAAAGAGGTCAAAGAGATCAAAGAGGAGAAGGAGAAGGTAGAGCCGGAGAAGGAGGAGCAGACGAGGGGCTTTTAACTTCCATTTGCTTAAGATGCAAAAAAAATGGGCTAAAGTGTTAACCGTAGGTGGTCGCTTGTCTTGACTCTTTGTAAGTATCCACTTGGGCCACCATTTTGGCTCAAGTGGACACTTCCCTTTTGTCTTGGAATCTGAAATCTTTCTTTCCCCTCCTATCAAAGCCATGTACGCCCCCGCCTACGCTGGTGCCGCGGTTGCAGAGGCTAAGGCGAAGGCGAAGGCATCCATGGCGAAGTACCTGGCAAGCCTTGTGAAAAAGGAGGAAGAAGGTTGGACCGTCCTGGCGGCTGAGGTCCCTCAGGCACCGGACGAACGGTTCTTCTCCAGCGCCGACGAGCTGGAGCAAGCCCCACTCATCCCAGCCAAGCGTAAGGCCGAGGACGAGCTGATGGCGGACTCCCCCCCTGGGGTGGCGCAGGTGCCGAAGGCCCTGACACGCCCCCCAGGGGCGTTCCTGGAGCTTCTCGACCCTCCAGAGCCGGATGTTCCCATGGAGGAACTCCTGGCGGAAGACGAGGAGGAGCCCCCGATGGAGGAACCCCTGGCGGAAGATGAGGTGGACCCCCCGATGTCCGACACCAAGTGGCAGGGACGCCAGGACCTTATGGAAAAGGCCAGGGCGCAGGTGTCCTCGGAGGGGGATGAGGACCCCGCAGCCCCCCGCCAGGGGGAAGCGTCTTCACCAAGGCCCTCAAAGTCTCTGAGGGCCTTTACCAATTCAGTGCGGACCAGATGGCGGGCGACTTCCCGTGTTTTGATGGGACCACGGCCGCCAGGCTCCGACGACTGCAGGCCAAGGATGTCCAGCGGCTCTTGAGAGGCTTTGAGGGCCCCCAACTCAAGCAGGGGGGCCTGGAGCGCGTGGTGGAGGCGTTCTACATCGCCAAGATGAAGTATGAGCATGAGGCCCTGCTCAGCACCCCGGGACAGAAGGTTGGCAAGCGCGCTGGCCTGGGGTATGGGGGCCTTGAGAACCGCCCCCTGGGTAAGGAGCCCACATCCTGGATCTGCCCCTGCTGCACCATGCCCTGGGTGAAGAAGGGCGCCAGGAAGTGTATGGGGTGCGGCAAAAAGACGGAGCCCATCGACACGGCGTCCAACTTGGCCACCCTGGAAATGGCGGGCACGCACTGGCAGCTGACAGTGGATGACCAGGGCAATGCGGTCTGGACGGCGGCCCGGTCCGCAGGTGCCGATGGCCCTGACACGGACCGGGCCCGCGACCTCAAGCTCAGCGCCTCGGTGGATGTCAGCGAGCTGGCCACCGACCCAATGGCATGCGAGAACCTGGACCAGGCCAGCTTCTCGGATTTTGTCCCCTCCTCGGTCCGGGCGGTGATCAGGAACTGCCCCATGGAGCTGGACGAGGATTTCCTGACGGCCCCAATGGGGGAAAGGCCCCCGTTGCCGGGCGACAAGGAAGAGGGCCAGGAGTGCAGGGCCTTCCACCCGTCGGCAGTGAAGGCCTTCAAAATCCAGACCCGGCTCAACGCCACCACCATCGCCCAGGAAGAGGCAAAGAAGGCAGACCAGGTGGCAGCGGTGGAGCGATCTGCGGCGGTCCTCCACGAGCTCCAAGGAGGGGCCATCGATGGAGGAGGCGATGGGGGACAACTCCTCAAGAATTTGGACTTGGACCTTTTCCGCGAGAAACTGCTGGATAAGCTGGGCGCGGACTGGGGGAGGCCCACACCGGAGCTCCTCCAGGCCCAGACCACTGCGGAAGAGGCGAAGGCAAAGCACCAGGCCAGACAAGCGAAGGGCGCCCTCGAGACCAGAATGCTCGAGCCCATCAAGCCTCCATTCAGTGCGTGGCCTAGCGAGGTCCGAGTTGCCATTGAGACAGGGGTCTTTGAGCCGACCACGGCATGGAGGGATTTCAGCATGGACGACCTCACGTCCCTCACGGACTCCTACCTCGAAGCCAAGGCGGTCATCTCGCTGGGTAGGAACCCCTTTCCGGGGGCCCTCCTGGCAGATCTGCCGGATCTGGCGGGGATCCCCATTCCAAAGGCGGGGGGCTCTGGTGCGGCGCGCCCAGGTGCCGAGGGCCCTGACAGGCAGCCCACCATCCCCCCAGCTTCGGGCTCTGGTGCGACGAGCTCAGGTGCCGAGGGCCCTGACAAGCCGTCCGCCACCCCGGGGGGCCTGGACACCCAGGACCCGGAGGTGCAGCTCGCGGTCCTGCGCTGGATGATGAGCAAGCGTGTCGGAGAGGTCCGCATCTTTGCGGGCCGCTGGGTCCGACGACCGGGGCCCGTACACGTCCCGGACTGGGCCAACAACCTCACCAAGGTGAATCCGGAGGCGCTGGAAAAGGGTACGCATCCCAGGAACCACCAGGCGGGTGGACTCCCATGGGCCAGGTACTCCGTTGAGGAGCTGAACCAGCAGGCCAAGGCGGGGGACCGACCATACCCCGAGGACCTGCGATCCATCTTCTGGGCGGCCCCCCACGATCCGGAGGAGGACTTCCACTGGACGCGCCAGATCTCGTCCTGGACACTCCCAGGCTTGCTGGGGATGTTTGGTCACAGCTTCACTCTGCGCCAGCTCTGGGGAGTCTGGGAGTCTCTGCCATTGCTTCAGGGCCCTAGGCAGCGGGGCCCGAAGAACAAGGCCCAGAATCAGATCCGCCTGGAAGGCTGGGAGACCCTGAAGGAAGATGCTCGGTGCTTCCTGAAGGAGGAGGGCCTTCCGCTTCCGCAGACAGGACCGGAGTGGCGCCTGGTCTACCGGGCCATGGGCAAGGTCCTTGCGGCCCGGGCCTTCCTCACGGACACCCCGGCGGAGGTAATGCAGCTCCCGGTCCAGGACGTGGCGGACTCCAAGGAACAGATGATCCTCCGGGCGGTATGTGATGAGCGCATATCGGTCCCGGTGGAGAGTCTCCAGCAGTTCCCAGAGGTGTACCAGGCCCTCATGGACCGCATTGGAGGCCCGGGGGCCCTGGCGGAGGTGAAAGTCAACTGGCGCTGCAACACGAAGCAGTGGTGGGTCGGCGCAGTCCCCGACTCAGTGGCCCCCTCCATCTACCGCAAGCTTGGCTACACCAACGACATGATCAAGCTGATGGGCCTGGACCCCTCCGCCCCCGGGTGCCGGACAGGTGCCGATGGCCCTGACATCCGCCCCAGGGGAGGAGAGGGCGATGAGGGGATCGTCTACCCCCCCATCACATCGGACAACGTCCACGGCGTGGTGGGCAAGGAGTACAAGAAGAAGAACTTCTCGGCAGAGACGAAGCACGTCTTCTGGGCGCACATGGAGTGCGGCCTGGTTCTGAGCTCAGTCACCCCATGGGAGCTCATCCCCAAGACGAAGGGGGAAACCCGGGGGGGCTATATGTGCAAGTACTGCAAGGGGTACTGGCGCGCCGGGGGAGGGGGCACTCGCCTCCTCCAGATCCGGGCCGGCAAGGCCATCCTTCAGCTGGTGCTGGACGAGCCGCCCGATGGACTGTACAACCGCTGGGTCAAGGAACGGCTGGAGTTCCGGGTAGAGCCGTCTGCCCCGCTGCGGGATGTCTCCGTGGTGGACCAGAAAGTCCCACGATTTAGGTTCAGCCACGTCACCCAGACCGGCCATGTCTCAGATGCCATCTGGGAGCTGATTCTCCGGAACCCGGAGGCGGCGGCGCTCAAGCGCATTGACGACATTGCCAAGGGGGCCGTGTGATCATGCAACACTGCGGCCATCCGGAACGGAATTGCAGGGCACCCCGGGGGAGGACAGCTGCCGATGGCGCTGATATCCCCCCCGGGCACAGCACAGGCCTTGGCCTGCACCAGGCGAGAAAAAGGGGCGCGCTTGGGCTGGTCCGGAGTGCGCCTGGGCTCCCCCCCCCCCCCTCGTTTGGTTTTCCCTTTCCGTGGAGGCTCCCCGGGTCCCCCCCCCCCCGTTTTCGGGTTTGGCTTTCCGGGGTTTTTGGGGCCGCCCGGGTTTCACTTTCCGGAGTGGATGTGGGCCTCCAACGTCCGGCTTCGCGAAAAGACCCCGGACCCGTCCAAGAAGCGATCTGCCGCATGCATTGAGTGAAAGAGAGACCCGGAAGAGGACTTGGGGCCCCCCGGGGCCTTTTCCCGGGTCTCTCTTTTGAAGTGCGTGCAAGGCGCCTTGAGATTTGGCTCCGGGCTCGAGTGGATCATGATGATGTGGAGGCCCCGCCTCCCTTCCCCGTTTGGAACGACCTTCCTAGGGGTCCCAACCGCGGTCCAGTTGATTTTGCATGACCTTGGATTTGCACCAGTGCAGTCGGACGGGGAAATCCTCGTGGCGTGCTGCCTGGAATGGGTCAAAAAGGACCAGGTTGCCAACCCGGATGCGGTGGTCTTCGACCCGCGACCGTGGACACGAATCGTGGGGATGGCACCCGACGATAACCATGTCCTGGTGGCCTCGGACACCTACAACTTGATCCTCGCAAGGATACTCGGCTCCCAACCACAACCGCTGGAGGAGGCGGATTTGGAGCTCGCTACTAAGACCCTGCAGCAACTTCTGTTTCGTGCGGCAGGCGCTAGACAATCGTACACCTATTCTCCACTGGAAATGGAACAGGCCATCCGGGACCGTGAGGAGTGGATCCTCTCCGGATCGATTGAGGCCCCGGATGTCCTGGCAGTGGCCAACAAGTGGCGGCATTGGAAACCAGGGAAGATCAAAACCCAACTGCCGACATCCCAACGAGCGTTGGAACAGCACTTGAGGGCCAGGTGGCTGGAACGCCTCCTGGGCTACTTCATTCCCTTCCGCCACCAGATCCCCTACATGCACCAGGTGATGGGGGCCAAGGAGCTGGAGGAGTTTGGCCACCTGTTCGGAGATGCCCGTTTCCGGACCATCCGTGCACATTGCTTGGCCTATGAGGGCATGCGCAAGATCGGCTTCCAGAACCTCCCCTGGACGGCCGGGGACGTACGGCACCTCATGAACCAGGCGGTCACGCTGGAGGTCACCCCGGCGAAGCTCCAGAA